AGGACTGCGCACCTCGCGTGACTGGACGAGGAACTTCGAGGGCCCTTTCTGTACTGCTCGATCGCAAGTCCCTACTGCAACGCCTCCCACCACCACCACAGTGCAGCACCCTCCACAGCAGCAAACACAGCAAATAGCAGAGAGATAACACACCTCACTGCCACCCTAGTTACATGAAGATTTTGCAATTCAACTGGACTACAGAGTAAGTTTTTATGGGTCGGCATGGAATATTAATATCTGTGGTCCAAGAGACGAAGTTGCACAGCGATTGAACGCTGCTTAATTGCGCCGGATACAAAGTGCACCGTCGCGATCGCGAGCGAGATAATGGTGGTGGCCTAGCGCTCATCACGCATCACATCGTGCGGTATCGTCTATCAAGGCAGACGTCGACCGCATTAATACCATCCTAGCTGCCCGGCGGGATATCACCCTGAAACAGGTGTACTCCTCAGAGGTGAAAACCGTGTGATAGTTGGTGGTTTTACTTGACTGAGCAGACAGACGATTCGACATTCTGCACAATGAACGCTGACGCACCCTCGAGGATTATGGGCGGCCGCCGCATCTCACCTGACGCAAAAATCGCAAGTGTTCACCTGATAAACATTATAACATGGCGACCTAAGCTGTCCTTAGCATCAGACCATCTGCCCAGTCATCTCGATTGATAAACCTGCTGTCTTTGCTTCCGCGGAACACCGAAACTATATAAACTTTTCGAAAGCTGATTGGAACGGCTTCGCGGAGTTACTGAAAGAACTTTCTCTGCCTCCCTGTTGTCCCCGCTGCAGCCCGCTTTATCTCATCCGGGTGTATTTCGAGCCCCCGTCAGAATCTCCCTGCCGAAGCGGCTGTCCTTACTGATGAGCATGATAACCTTCGTCAGACCGATCCCGGAAATCCTCGCATTAGGGGTTTCAATCCGGAGTCAGAAACTAGTGACCGTACATAATCGGAAGAAGTGGTAAAGCATCTGGAGACTTTTAACTTCCCCTCTGATGTAAGCAAGTTTTGGTCAACCATGAGGTCATTTTCCAGCCCGACGAAGCGTGACGAAGGAGATGAAATCTCTTTCGGCTACGGCGCCTCGTCGGACCCGGTGCGATGCGCGATCTACTTTAGCCGACAGTTTACGCTGCATTCTTCGGCAGACAAAGCCGAACGTCGAGTGACCAGAAGGCCGTAGAAACTGCCAACACCTAGTGCCCCTCTTGCTTTCACCAGTGGTGAGGTTCAGGTACCCGTCGGCGGTAGATTACCTTACCAAGGCCCTCAACCTGTCCATGGTCACTCTTATCATTCCAGACACCTGGAAAATTGGGAGACTAATCCTAATGCTCAAACCGGGGAAACCGGCCAATAAGGGAGCGTCTTATCGTCCGATAACTTCCATTTTCCCTATAGCCAAAAAACTATAGGCTTTGCTACGCTCGTACATCACGGAGGACATAGAGGCTTCCTCTATCCCACAGGGACTCAAAAGGTAGTTAGTGAATTATCTGAGTGGTCGGCATCAGTCATCAGTCATTTTTTGAGACAAAACCAGCAATCCGAGGAGAATTAAACACGGGGTTCCATAGGGTAGCGTCCTTTCTCCTCGGCTGTTTAACTTTTACATATCAAAGCTCCCGCAACCACCAAGGGGAGTCGCGACTGTCTCTTATGCTATCGACTGCTCGATAATGACTTATGATCGAAAGTAAACGGTTACCTCTCTGAACTTTTTCGCTTCTCTACTGCAAGGAGCCTAACCCTGCCTACTACAAAATCCTCGGAAACCCATTTACCACCTGGACGAAGGAGGTCAGACTACAGCTGGGAGTTAACGTCGATGGCGTACAAATTCCAAGATGAATAACACGAAAATTCTCGGAGTAACTTTCGATAGTCTGCTCTCCATTTCGGCGCACACAACCGCAATTGTCAATAAAGTACAGAGCCGCAACAAGGTCCTCAAGACGCTAGCCGGCAGTACCAGGGGCAAAGACAAAGACCCGACAGTCGGGTTTACGTAACCGGAACGACCCAGATTTATATCTGGCCAAGGACTGTCACTCCAGCTACACTCCCCAAAAACTTTGGGGAATTTGTATGCTGTTACAACAACAACAACAAAGAAACCTTGCTGATAGCATACAAGGCCGGCCGGTTCTAAACTACGCATCGTCTGTGTGGTCGCCGGGGACTAGTAGGACACAGTGGACGAAGCTACAGACTTGCCAAAACACGGCACTCCGGACAGCGACCGGATGCCTTCTGTTGTCGCCACAACATCATCTACATGACAAGGCTCAAATGCTTCCCGTTAAACGGTGTTTATTTTATAGGCAACTTTTAGTTGAAACCAACAATACCTGGTGTGAACGGTATTTCAACTAGTTGCTTGTAATGAAGTTGATGGCAACAAACTTTTGATTCAACTAATAACCTTTGAAACTGCCTGTAAAATCGCTAGAGGTAAACACCGTATTATGGTGCATAACAAAATGCTCTGTAAGCAATTCTTAGTAGGGTGTCACGGACTTGGCCAATATACGAATTGACGGAAAAAGTCCAGAGGTTCATAAAGCAACCTCTGGACCCGACAGCAAGCCGGCAGGCCATAAACGGCATTCACAGACCTACACTACTATATAATAATGTGCAAATTTTAAATGTCTAAAAATTCGCGATGATTTTTGAGAATTGTTTATCGTCTTTAAAGTACAAAACCGCGTATCAACAAAATGCAAAACCGTATATGACATTTTTTTCATATCGGACACCAAATTTGGTGCCACTCTTTCAATTGGCTTCAAATTTTTTTTATGGGTTCTATACATAAAATAAGCTAACACGTGTTCGAAGAAAATTTTTTAAATCTTTTTTTCTTCGGAGATATGAGATATGATCTGTCAAAATTTGCATTTTTTCGTGATTCTGACTAATCATGTACTTCTTCAAATCGTTATATGCTCATCGTAGAGACTTCATCTTCACGTCGTTTTAAAGCTAAAGAAACGGGCTTAACTATATATAAGATGGTCAAGATTGTCCTAAAGCTAACTTAACAATTAACAGCTGAACTTTTTGAAGTTGATTTGCGTAGTGAAGGCCAGTAAATTAGGGATTCAAAATTATACCATCGTAATCCTTGTTTAATTCTCTATAAAACACGTGGTTCCAAAAAATGAGGGGTTTTTTAAGAACTAGTTTTAAAATATTTTTCTTTATGACGAGATGGTTTATTTTGTGAGAATCAAAAATTTTTAGTAATTTATTTTCGAAAACTTATGATGAGATATATGTAGTAAGGTGTTAAACATCGAGTTTTTGCAAACAGTAAAATTTTATTGCGGATTCCGATAGAATACCTATCCAGAAATTATATTTGTACTGAAAGATTTTTCTGTAAGGCGACAAACCCCTAGATATGGGCGTGGCAATTGCAGGACTAAAGTTAGCAAAACGCACATTTTATTACGGATTTCGACAGAATATCGCTTCGTTAACAACATTTGTTCCATAACTTTTTCAATCCATATAGATATTCTGGCGAAATCCACAATGAAGTCTAAATTTAAGACCTTTGGTTTTAATAAAGCCACGCCCATTTCTAGAATATTCTTGGATTGAAAACTTGTAGAATGTATATGTATGTATATTGGATTTCTGTGGACCAATGATGTTCTGCCATTTTGAAATTGCCACCACCTTTTCTATACAGATTCATGGACGATTCAACATTGAACCGGATCATTGTTGTCGCAAGAACTTCTTTACAGACATAACGCTTTCGTTAGGTTATTTAAGAGGGCAATGCAGGATATCCTTTCTGACGACCACAAAACCCAACATGAACGTGAATTGTGGTGAAAACATTGCACCAAATTTTTGAATAAAGAAATAAATTTTAGGCGGGAGGAAGTTCGCCGGGTCTGCTAGTAATAATAATACATTTTATATTTTTAATTAAAATTTTATAAACGTCCCTTAAAAAAAAAATCATTTATATCAGCCCAGTACCTTAAAGTTTTCAAACGCCAAAATAGTCTTTAAATTTTGTAACATAGTATAAATGGAATATAATAAAAAACAAGTTGACTAACAAGACTAAAAAATACACCCCTGTTTAGTCGTAGTAAGAATGTTGGCATCATTTAAAATAAAGCGATACCGTTAAGACAACCTTGTGTACATGTTACTCTTAATGTTACAGTTTATTAAGTTTTTTTTTTTGTTATTCTAGTCTGTAAGATTGTACTAATCATAGACTCTAAATAAATCAATAAATAAATTTGTTGGAAGTTCCCCAACAAATCTCAACGCACCGCGAAATCTGCTCATACAGCAAAATCACAGAGCGTCAGTCGAATCTTTAAAATATTTTGCTGTTTAAGTAAATTTAGAAAATAGTTTTAAATAAAACAAAAATTACCTTTTAATAATATAAATAAATAATTTATAAAACTATTTTTCCCCCACAATTTTTCATAGAAAACGGCCTCAAGCTTAATAAAAATGGTGAAACTTAATAATATAAAGATTAAATCCAACCATTATCATGCCTTCATGTCCTCACCTCTTAATTTTGTCCAAAAATTTTACGAATTTAGTATCGTCCTTGCTGCCTTCTAGTTGATCCATGCAAAGCTTTATGTCATTGTTTGACAACTCAAAGTAGTTTAAATTCAATGGACACTTAAGATCGAACTCCATGAAATATCTCGCATAAAGTGAAATAATGAATGTCCAGTAGATCTTTACTACAAGATCATGTACATCGGTCAAATCAAAACCAATGTTGAAAGCAATCATTTTTCGATTGTAGAACATAATGTTTGGCAGTATAGCACGAAGTTCTTCGATACTCATTGATAGCTGCTGATAGTATTGCACCAAATGTAGAGAAAGAGTATGCGCTACTTCGTTGTTGAGTATTTTGCGAGCTAACAGACAGGCCGGACTCGTGCAATCTTTGCAAAAATATTTTTCATCAATAGTTGCATGTTTATAACGTTTTCGATCTGCAAAACCAAATTGTGTGTATACATATTTAAAATCATTGCGATAATATTTTACAATTGTTTTCAGAACTTACTATTAAAGTGTTGAAAAACAGCCCATGCCACATGATATTGACCCAACTCGATTGTGTCATCAACTTTTCCCTTAATGGCTGGCAAGGTAGCACAAACTTCTTCGCCCAACTCTTCTAGCGTACCCTTTCGCTTGCCGCGTGTTTTTATATATGTCAAAAAGTCATCACTTGTGCAAGCATTTATAATTTTAGATTCGTATAGATTAACTTCTTTTTCGATTAGGGCTTGTGCCATACACTTGTAGCAGATTTGATCCGAATATCGTCGAGGTGTCAGTGGGCCTCCAGCGATAGAACACGTTATGCATTTGCAGTTCCTATTAAGTCGTAAATTTAAATGCTTAAAAATAATTTTTTCTTCAAAATTAAAAAAAAAGTATACTTTCGAAAAATTTTAAAAATATATAATGAAACCCCCACACATTTTTGTCATTATTCAAATAATCTGTAAAATATCCACAAAATCGCCCCTTTGCTCACTCTTGGTGGTACTCCAACAGCACATTGCATTTCTTGCACTTATCTTCGCAAACCAATGTATTAGGCGGCTTAAAAAATCCATCTGGCCATTTCATCTTCGTGTATGCCATTATATTTTGCCAGGCAAGGCGCCGATTTTCTAGGCATTGAAAATCATAGAAATCATTGTCATCATCGAATTCCTGCAACGAGAAAGCGATTGCGTCCTGCACGACAGTATCGAATATGTGATGCACATTAAGTAGACACTTTCGACGCTTGCGTTCCGTTTCAGACATATTAAATTTGTTGAGTTCGTTCCAAATATCATCTGTATAACGCTTTTCAACGCATGTCATTTTGTCATCGAATTGAATATATTTTTTTATAAGTGCGGCATGGCGCGATGTTAGTTCATCCTCTTTCAGCTAAAGTGTTGGAAGGAAAAAATCAATAGCACAATAAAACTAATAAGCAAACAATTGAAAACTCGTGGTGTTAAGCACTTACAGTTATGATACAGGCCAGCATAGTGTCGGTGAGAGTAGAGTAAACATGAAGCTGATATAGACGCTGACACAGCAGTGTCCATGTTAAGTTAAATTTGCGGAGAAAATCATTCTCAAATGCAAACAAATAACATGAAATCTGTTCTGATATACGGCATNGTTAAGTTAAATTTGCGGAGAAAATCATTCTCAAATGCAAACAAATAACAAGAAATCTGTTCTGATATACGGCATAAATCATCATACCCGTCCAAAATATCTGCAAAAATGTAAAAAAAAATAAATAGTTTCCGATTTTGGACAGGCATATGTACATGAACATACAAGANCATACCCGTCCAAAATATCTGCAAAAATGTAAAAAAAAAAAAATATTAGTTTCTGGTTTTGGGCAGGCATATGTACATGAACATACAAGTTAGCATTTCCTCTGCGGGTATTTTATTGTTGTCAGGTTCCACAATTTCTATGAAGCCTTCCGCGTATGCTTTAACGATGCACTCGACGTGAAAGGCTAATATTTGCAGCAACAATAAAGGATTGTTCACCATAAGACTGAAAGAATTAAGAAATAATAGTACAGTAAGAAACGTGTATTCATTTGAGATATTAACAAACAACGACAGNAGGCTAATATTTGCAGCAACAATAAAGGATTGTTCACCATAAGACTGAAATAATTAAGAAATAATAGTACAGTAAGAAACGTGTATTCATTTGAGAGATTAACAAACAACGACATTTTACTTACATGGAACTAAATAGTACGAAAATCATATTGTCTGATAGCGAGTCGTCATATATGAAATCCATATGTTCAGCCTTTTTATTATAGACAAAGCCACAAGCTATCCAATAGATCTCTTTGTTGGCGTCCAATAGTTTTTCAAACTTATTGTAAGCGGTCCTGTTTCTACGAATATAAAACATATATGTATGTACGTTTTTAACTAAAAACTGATCTTATAGATTTTGGTATTTGATTTTAAAACATATGNCAAAGCCACAAGCTATCCAATAGATCTCTTTGTTGGCGTCCAATAGTTTTTCAAACTTATTGTAAGCGGTCCTGTTTCTACGAATATAAAACATATATGTATGTACGTATTTAACTAAAAAACTGATCTTATAGATTTTGGTATTTGATTTTAAAACATATCTATTAGAACGTTCGAAGGTCTTTAAAGCAGCAAAGCATGCACTTACTTTAGCATTGGCCCGTACGCCTTAATTAGAACATCCAGCAACATGACCACCATATGCGCCGTTTTGAATTGCTCTACCATAATATGTATAACAATTTCACGATACTTCAGACAATTTTTGCATGAGCAAAATGTAAAGAATTCATCGTTACTATGTTTTACATGTATGTTTGATACATCCTATAGTAATAGTTGCAACCAATTAATTTTTAAATATTTNACAATTTCACGATACTTCAGACAATTTTTGCATGAGCAAAATGTAAAGAACTCATCGTTACTATGTTTTACATGTATGTTTGATACATCCTATAGTAATAGTTGCAACCAATTAATTTTTAAATATTAACAATTAAGTATTATGTTCATCATACCATAAATGGACTGAGTGTGCGATGTTTTTTGCTGATAGCAAACTCCGCAATAAGGCTCTTCTTAATGTCCAACTCAATAACATTGTCTTCTCGTTGGCTCAACTGCGCGAGAGAAACAACATTTTTGATAATCAGCTGCACCTGTAAATGTGGTGCATGCGGATCAAATGGCGGTAAGGAGAGTATCTTCGATAATGCTGCCGTTGGGTTTTTATCATCCAGCACGGAAACTCCCGGATCGGAAAACGGTAGTTTCGACAATAACATTGAACGATCCGCATCCATAGTGTCTGCATGTGGTTCTGGTGAAACCAGCAATATCTCAGGCACATCGTCGTCCTCGTCACTGGAACTTGTACTGCTGCTGTCACTATCTTGCCGCGGTTTTAATAGCACGCCGCCCAATTGCGTTTCAGCGGCTAAAGAATCTAAGGGTTCCGCATCGGAGTCACGTGGTTCGGCCCCATCATCATCCGACTTCTGTTCGCTAGATCTCTTGAGTTTTAACGTTGAGTTTGCCTCAGCGATGAGTGCCGATTTCATACTTTGCCAGTCGAGTAGGTGAGCACCCGGCCCGCTGCCAGTTGCATGTGCGGCGGCAGCCTCCAACGCGGCTGCCAGCTTAAAATGCACGGTAGCGAAATCATCACCATCGGATGTTGATGGCGAGGAACTGTTTGAGGGCACTACCGTACTTTTGCTGGTTGAAGGAGCTTCTGTTTCCATTCCGTCAATAGCTGTTGGCTGGCTTGACGTTGAAGTGCCATAAGCAATCGGGGCAGTGGTTGGGCTGCAGGTGGAAGAGTTCACTTTGATACGTCGCACTCGCACTCGTAGCTCTTTTGCCTTTCGTGCTTCCATCAGTTATCCTGCTAGAATTGTACTTTTGCTGCAGTTGCAATACAACTGCACCAGCACAGTTTAATTTCAATTGAATTGATGACGCTACAATAGCCGCGGCATCTACAATGATGGTGTCGACCTTACGCCCTCACACTTGTAATCTCCACGATGGGATGAATGCAACGGACGTCGGCGCATTTAATTGGCCTCCTTAATAGCTGTCTGTTTCCAACTAGATTAATACAATTCTTATTCAATACAAATGTTTATACACAGAACTTCGTTTCTGATACAATACAACGGCGTTATTCAGGGTAAAATAAAATTATTTGATTAGTTAAAGTTTGTTCGCACGCGCCAATTGCTCGTTAACTTGTTCGGTTGGTATTCGCCTTAATTTCCGTATTCTCCACCATACAAATTTTCCACAAAAGCACTTGCCTTTTTTGTACACTTTTCTGTTATTTTCTATGCACTTCATCCGCTATTTGCATTTTTCATTTTCTGTGCTTACAAAATCGTTCGCTGCAAATTTGTGTTCAGTAGCAGAGGCCGTTAAAAGCGCATAAAAACAGCGCAAAGCAGGGCGGGCAGACGAAGCCCAGAATTTCCGCGACACTTTCACTCGGCCGCCGCTGCCTAAAACCTCAGTTGCACAGAGCGAGTTCACTTCCCATCAAATTTTCAAATGATCCTTGCACTTCAGCACTATATGTTTTTTTAATTGTATATGTTTCGACTGATGTAAAACTTATTATATTCTAATATTTTGATCAGTTTATGCACTTACAAAACTTCCTATTGTTTAATTTTCCCTTTTTCCTCGGATGTGTGAAATTTCCTCGTTCTGTGCTTCGTTCTCTATTCGTCGTTTATCGTCGTCCGTTAGTGTTGCTGCAAACTTTGTTTTGAGCAGAGTTGCATTATTTCGCACCAGTACTGTACAAACAAATTAAAGGTCTTCAAAATAAATTCAGAAAATATTCCATTATCTTATGTATACGGTTGCCACTCGCCTCACAACTTTTCTACCGAAATCTTTGAAAAATAATTTACCAATTTAATTTTTTTTTATGTACCAATACACTTACGGCCCTATTTCCACGCCAACGACAAAATTTATCGCAGGGCTATGCGATAATTACTGCGCTTACAAGTATGCTGAACAATCTTGACTTTAAGCGTTTCAACGTTATTGAAACTATTAGCCCTTCCACGGCAATGACACAACTCATCGCATACCAATTGATTTAACTATTGCGCCAAAGTGTCGGTTCCAAAAACTCGGCTTTAAGCTCTCTTATAATGCATTTTTTTATACTATTCTTATGACCTATCGGGAATCCAGGGTGTGATGCGACTCCGTTCCCGTAGGACGGTTTGCAGACAGGTGGCAATAAACCGGCTGAATTATAATGGCGCCTGTTCGACACCGGGCATCGAGGAGTAACGGTGGCCTTACTATGACATGAGGCGTTGGCGCGCTGGACCAGATGAGATACCCTACAACTTATATGACTGCTGAGCTCGCATCTTCGAGCAGCCAGTCGTACACACAAGATGAACACAACAAAACAACATCAACTACATCAACAAAAACAGCAGTCAAACGTAGCGCTAGTGACTATCGGAAACAACTGCAAAAGCAGCAGCAACACGCCAGAGAAAATGAGAAGTCAGGCACTAGCAATGGCGGCGTGGATCGGGAGTAGCACCGGTCTAACGGCTCAAAGGGAGTAGAGACGGGGAGCCCTAAGAACAGGCACCGCTCAGCAAGCAGGCACTGATCAGCAAGCCGGCGTCGTTCTGGGAGTCTTGACTCCTCCGAGAGCCGACGCCGATCTGAGGGTTGGCATCGCTCGGAGAACAGGCATCGCTCAAGCAACAAGCACCGTTCTAGCAGCAGGCACCGCAGGTCCCCATTCGGACCTCATCAGCATCGTATAAGTCCGTGTGGCAGATGCAAGAAAGCAAGAAACGAATCCGTAGGTGCAGACCGCATCCGTGGCTTAACCGGGGGCCCTTTCTGACCACCAGCGAGCTGGCCTTGGCGGTTCGTGTGTCAAGTGGTATCTTCGGTACCTGCAGCAAGGAAAGAAGCCGAATGAAGCCCGCGCCATGGCGGACGTCAGTCAAGAGGTTGAGCAAGAGGAAAGCGAGCGAGAAGAGCGCAAACGCTGACGACAACGACTGAGATACCAACCGTCCTGGGCGGGGTTTTTTAGCCGCTACAACAACAACAACAACAACAGCGCAAACGCTGAGGCGACAGCTACCCGCACCTGCCGAAAGGCAGAGAAACGGGCAGCAGCAGCAGAGACCCGCGCCGCCAATTGGCAACAAAACAGCAACATCAACGGGCACATTAAAACGAAGCAGCTGCCAACTTACACCACCCGAGACACCGTCCTCCAAACGGCAGCGGGGGCACCCACTTCCTTCGACAGAGTATAGGGGCCTGGATAGGTTTGCGGGCTAGCTTCAGCCACATGAATGAAGCACTCAGGAGCCCAGCTATTCCGATGCTCTTAAAGGTACCAGCTTCTGTAAGTGCACTCGGGCCAAGTGCCACTACCAACCGGGTCGACTACGTGCGCACCACGTCAGCAGATATTGGCAGGCTCGAACTCAAGAAGCTAGGGCGGCTCTCGGATATTGACGAAGAGCTTCAATTATGAGCTCAACAGAGCTAGCAGTAGCCCAGGTCAACCTGCATCACGCGGTAGCCGCTTCGGCGGTTATTGCAAGCAGTGGTAAACCTGTGAATTCACTAATACCGGAACGGTGGACTTACAGAGGCCAGGTGAGGGGCCTCAACCATAAGAATGACAAGGTAATTTGGGACCTCTGCTGAGAGAGGCTCAGAGCGTGTGTAGAGCTGAAGAATAATATTAACTTCTGACATTTGAATTTTGAATTTATTCATAGAGTTTCTTACACCGGATCTGGCAACAGTCCAGTCTACTCTGAAGATGGAGGTGGTCCTGGCCGCAGCCTTCTTTCCGGGGGACAACGCCAACGTGCCACCTCTTGAGGTACAGCAGATATAAGGATTCTGTTGCAGAAGACGACTTCCTGCTAATCTTTGCTGCGTTGCGTGGGGCAGCTAGGGCACAAATCGTAGGGGTGAGTGCCTTTTGGAATGTATAGTTAACTAGCGAAGACCTTGTGGAATCACAATGTGGGCAATGAACCTACATTCACTACTACGGTCAGAGAGGAAATACTCGGCATCACTCTCAGCAACAGGTTAGCCAGCCGTCTGACCCTCAGTGGTGGAGCCCTCACTGTCGGATCATAGGCTTATCCGATTTGCACTGGGAGCTGAAGTTCGGACAGGTTATCCCATGAGAAACCCCAGAAAAACAGACTAGGGTAAATACGAAGAAGTACCTAGGTTGGACCAGGTTAGAGGCACAACAGTCAGAAGACAGGATCAACAAGTGGAACGGCACTATTTTAGATGGCTTTACTTCTACCTGTCCCGTGACAAGGCCAAAAGGTAAGGCCTGGTCACAGAAACTCTCAGTACTTAGAAAAGAAGTGCGCACACTTTTCATTAGCGAAAAGCGCACAGGGTGGTGGGAGGAGTGCTCAGTCAGTCTGGCAAAATATAATAAACAGATTAGAAAGGCTTAGCATAGCAGCTTTAGCACCTTTTGTGAGAACATCGCATCGACTCTTGCAGCTGCTAGGCCTCATAAAGCCTTAGCCAGAGCCAAAAAAGGGACCAGTTCCTAATGGGACTTTTTCAAAAACTGAGCAGAAAAGTGAACTCGCCCTACTGTCGGCCCACCACCCGGATGCCATTCCAATCTCCGGGGATGCCGTGTTCCGTGCGTACAGGCCATCCCCCATCGAACTGGAAACTGGCTAAAATCCTTATAAGCCGGCAATCAGTGCAGTAGGCGTTGGACTGCTTCGAACGGTACAAGGCCACCGAGGTGGATGGCATCTGTCCACTGCTGCTTGCGGATATTATGAGGGGCAGTCTAGCACTGGCCCACATTCCCGTGGTGTTGCAGAGGGCCCGGGTTATCTTTTTCCCGAAGGCTTCATACCTTTTTTTTGTATGACAATATTATTTTTAAACAATAATTTAATATAAAGTATTAATTTTTACTATGAATTTTTTCCCTCAGAGTACATTAGGATGCCCCTCGAATTTTTTTTTTGGAAATTTCAAGACCCTACCCTAAACTTTATTCGTTTTATGAGACATATTACTGCCTGTTTTTATAGATTTTTTAAAGATCATTTAGAGGTCACGACCTCTCGATTTAGGTCAGAAAATACAATTTTGTAGATTTATGAGTTTATGAATGACTGTTTTTGATTCGATTCAATGATCGAATATGGTCTGGGAAGAGGATATGTAGGTCTTTGAAATGGCATATAATAATCTATTGTCGGACTTGGCTTATTGGGATTTTTTATCGGGTAAAAAAATATATATTTCTCTTAACTTTTTAAATTTTGACCATCGACAATTTCCACAATTTCAAAATAAGTAGTACTATCCAAATCTATTTTTAGAAAACCTGATAGCAAATTTATTGCAATTGCATAAAAATTGTCGAAGTACGGAAACTTTTCTTAAATACGGCCTTGAATTTATATTGTTTATTAACCGGACTTTCAGATTTTTTTTGGCAGTGTGACAAAGGAATTCATCAATATTTATTAAAAATTGATATATGAGTAAAAATTTGTGAAGTGGGTCACAATTTTTTCAAAGGTCGAGCTTTTTCTGTGCAGTTATATTTTTATGCTTCATAACGATAAAAGAAAAATACAAGTTTCACAATTTTCCGAGATTCGAATTATTTTTTTCATTTTGTTATAGCTATTAACATTTTTCGAAATTGTTTAGATTTTAATTGTTTTCTCGCGATTGGTAATACCGATTCTGCTCATATTTTAAACAGTTGAGAGTGATGGTGTTTTCTTTCCATTATTATTTTTTATTTGGCCATACATTTTTTGTTTATAAAAGTTATTAATTTTTTTTTAAATATTACTGACATCTCAATGGCTTTAAAATCGCGTTTTTGGTTAATATTGGTTTACGTTCTATTAGCAAATTTTTCACAATTTTCTAACACTTTGCTAAACTATCGAAAGCAAAATTCTGTTCGACAGAAAATTCGATACTCAACGAAAATTTCGACACGTTGGTATAGCTCACAACACGAATTTCACCTTCGATAACCAGCGAAGATCGAAAATCGAGTGCAACTCATAATAAGGGCCTTGGTTTAATATAAGCTGAATAAGAATGAATGTCGGTGAATTAAGTACAGAGACCTTCTTGCCAGCCGCAAGCCTAGGCTCCTGGAGTTCGTTCGAAGCCTACATAATATGCCGGTTTATTTATCGTTCCTCATCTCCCTCGCTGCTTCCATGGTCCCATCGCCATTTTTAGCTTCATCTTCCGCTTTCTTAAGGTCAGTCCAGATATCTAGACCTAGATCTTTCTCAACTTCTCTTCTTCAAGCGTGTTTGCGTTGTCGTCTTTATTGTTAAGATTTTTTAACCGCAGATTTACGCTTCCTTCCGCCTCTTGGCTATTTGGAGGATGTAGCTCTGGCCCTCCTCCGTCGACTTAGCTACGTGAACTACCTTCCAATACCGTGTCGATATATTTGAGTTTTGTGCCTACAACAAGAGCAGGGCGTCCTCTGGCTTCACCCCATACTGGATCCATACCTTCGCCTTCGGAGTCGTGGGGATCAGAACTCTGTCCTTCATCTCTAGATGCACGTTGTCAGCTAGCCT